AGATCACCTTGACAGCAAGAGATTTTTATCAAGACTTTCAGATTTAGAAGTGACATAATAATGCACTTATTTACATTTGTGACCACTAAGTGGGTTATTTTCTTGCTTCTCTGACCTGACTTTGTCTCTTCTGCAAATTTTCTGGGACAGGAAGCTAAGTATCCAAATTCTTCACCTCAGCAAAGAGGGTCTTTCCTGAAGCATACAGAGTACACAGATTTCCAGCATGACACACATGGGCTCTTTCACAGGACTACAGGAACTTCTTTTGGAACACAATTACTTTTCTTTTAGAATAATAGGTAATTTCATTTGTTATCACGGTCTTTTATGCGGATTTACTAGAAATTAATAGGCTCATATTCTCCATTCCTTTCCAGTTCCCCTGCCACCTGCTGATGAGAAACATAAAATAACTCCTAGGTAGCCAAAATCACAGAGTATTTTAAGTTGTAAGAGACCCACAAGGATCATCCAGTCCAACTCTTAAGTTAATGTCACGTAAGGGGATCAAACCTGCAACCATAGCATTATTAGCACCATGCTCTAACCAACTAAGCTAAACTCAGTTTTGGCTAGTCTGTAAATCTTTTACTATTTTGAGTCCTACAAAGTGACATGTTCAACAAGGGGCAGATTTTCCCAAATACAAAAGTGCAGTTACACATCACTGAACAAAAAAGAATTAAAATTGAACATCTGAATATCTGAACATCTTCTGTTCATTAGCAGGCTCAGGTTTATTTAGAGCACTTTTTTCTCCTAAAATCTTAAATCTTCAAGCATAATTTCACAAACACACTTTTGAGTATGCAGTCCTGTCCCCTCTATTATACTTCAGACATGCTACTCCCATTCTACTAATGACTATGTTGATCTATACTGGGCTCAGGACTCATCCTTGCAGAACCAGCAGTGAAATACTCACAGCTTGTTTTTTGTTATGGCTTTTCAACAAGTTATTCAGATCACCTTAGACTACTCTTAAGTAAAACCCACTTTGCCTATGGGAATTCCATGGAGGATGGTGTTCAACGCTCATTAAGGTCCTGTTCTACCAGTTACTACTTCTGCATGCAACACTGAAAAGAGCATGCCTGTGTGTAAGCACCTTCTCAGCCAGCACGCACAGTGACATGGGTTGCAACAAAGACCATATGGACTATGAAGAAAGTGACCTCAAGTGGGGATGACTGTAAGGAAGGTAAAAATAACATCTGATCCTATGAGAATCAGATATTTCATTAATGAATGTTTTGGGAGCCTAAAGGTAGTATCAATGCACACTAAAAGACATGTTTTATGAGACTCAAATTTCAGCTGGCAGTATGTTGCAAATATTTACTGGCCTACAAAGTAGCTGAGATGTTCCAGAGAGGCAAAACAGACCTCTATAGTACAGAATTAGCATTCAGAGAAAGGGATTTGTTTGTTCCCAAGCTTCCACTGTATCTACAGATTTACATACTTAGCACACAAGACAGCTGCTGGCAAATCTACACCTCACTTTTTCTGAATCATGAATTTTATGGAATTATTCTGCTTTCTCCAGAAAAAATATGCAAAGCCAAGTAGATGATTTTCACCCTTTGCCAGGTCAAAAGTATGGTGTCATCTTTCTTTCCGCAGGTACACCCTCAGCTTTTAGAGCACAAGCAGAATAAAGAAAAACAGTCTTAGGATGATGAAGAAAGATCCAAATTAAAATAAGGACTCATTAATTCTATATTATCGGCCTAGAAGTTCTTGTTCTCTTTTACTTTCCTTCACATATACGATGACTAAATTTGCACCTGTAGAAAAAACGTCCAGTTGAAGGGATCAGTAACACCAGAATCAGAACCAAAAGGAGGACTACTTTGAAGTCTAACACATAGGATGCCAATGTCTCAACAGAAAGGTTTACCGAAGTATAACTGGCATTAAGACACACCAGTTTCTTTCACTGAGGACTGATAATAAAACAATGCCTCCCATCACAGTTTTTCACTCCTCAGTTGTTCAGCTTCCTTGGGGACTGCATACAACAACAGGCTGGAGCAGCACTAAGACACACCTCTCCCAAAGAGAATTAAAACACTACCCCAGCTGTTACTGCAGTGTTTATCTGACCTTCCCCTACCCAATGCATGTGAATTCAAAGCTCTTCTTCAAGACCTCTCATCCAGAGCCCTACAGCACATAAACTTTCTAGACAGTAAGGGCAGTAAGAATAATGCCAAGGGAGTGCAGCATATCTATAAATGCACTGAACATGCAAGAAGCAGACTGTATCGGGGAAGGAACAGAATGTGCCAAGAAAAAAAACAGCCAAAAAGGTTGGGTGTGGAGAACTGGAATCCCAAGAACCAACCCATACAACTAAATCCTGAGTTGTTACCAAGGTGGAATTAAAAGCAAATGGAACTGTACAGAAGTGAGAATGTGACACAGTAATTCATGAGAACAGTTCCTAACAGAATTAGGAAAAAACAACAAAACACGATTTAATATGACTACGAAGAGAGAAAATATGAGAAAATATATTTTTCTTGTGCTTCTAAACTGCTTAGTTTTTCTCTACCTTAACACACTTACAAAAGATTTCCACAATCTACTGCATCTGTAAGCAATTCCAGCTCTCTAACATGTGACATCCGTTTTAATCATTGTTAGGGAAAATGGGAAAGGCCATTTACTTCATTACCCCTGCACTTTTCCATAGTATTCAGGACAAGAACACACACTCTGTAAGGTTCTTTCAAGTACAGTGAACGTTCTCTGCTGGTAATGACAATGTGTTTGCTGTCTTATTAATGAAAATGAGTATTGAGCGACACAACATCTTTTATATATAGCAGCAGCAACCTCGTGTCCCTATAAGATTCAACAGGTGCTGTGCCACATACTGAAATTATTCAGAGAGCAAAGAATGGACAAAGCAAACTCAAATGGGCATTAGTCTCCAGTCTTGGTATGGCTTACCAGCACCATGCCATCTTCAAGGCCTTCCTACCAAAACTTTCTGTAGTCACAGAGGTAAAAAGTTACACAGATGCTGCCATGACTTCAATACAGATGGCAGAGCACACCACGTGTGATGCTGCTCACTGGGCTTTTTTTGCTCTGTAGGTACATGGGACATACATAGACTTACTCAATTTTGAAGGAGAATCGGTGGCAAAGTGGTTGTGTGTCACTTAGGGATCAAAGCTCAAGCTGCACTCTGGATCATCACCTATGTAGCCTGCAGTCCTGCTTTGAATTTTGCAGCATGAAGTCACAAAGTACTTCCAGACTGGAAAACCAAATGTGAAAGCAAGCCTTAGACCTTGCACATGAGACTACTGATGGGGCTGATGCTGACAGGAACACAAGTACATCCTACAACTGGCTGGTACTGGTAAAAGCAATAGTAAGAAAGGCAAGGAAAAGAATAGCATGGAAACTGTAAAGACCATGCCTTCAATCTGGATTTTGTATCAGTGCTGCAGCAAAGCTGCAGCAGAATACCCAACCAATATAGATAAAATCTTTGCAGTTTATATATAGGGTTAAATAGATTTAATCAAGGAAGCTTGATTTCTATTTTCCGTACTCTACACCGTACTCTACAAACCCCTTGGGAGTATGACAGGGTGCTGGCTTCACTTAAGCAAACTGCAGAAGCACATTTCTAAAACACACAAGCCAAGGAAGGGCATGGTAGGCTGCCATTCCCTCAGACATTACAACAAAGTTTATTTATGCAGAATCAAAGGAAACGTCAGTGGAGAGCACAGCAATGAAAATGATGACTGAGCTTGACTTCTGACCTCTTGTTTTTTCTGTCTCTGACCTTTCCACTTAAACAGACTTCAAACTCAGCCTATGGTCTTCATTCTGCAATATTTTGAGTGCACTCAGCATTTTGAGGTGCTGCTGGGATGTGTTGAACAGATTATATTATCAAATCCAGATTTAGGTAATGTCTGTGATAGAAACCATGTCCAAATTGTTACTCCTTAGCTGCTAAAAAGGAGGAATTGCTATTACTGTTATCATCTTTTTATGTCAAGTTGATGGTATCTTGTTTCTCAAACCAGTTAACCATCTGTTGTCACATGAGAAACTCTGTGACTTAAAGCATTTATTATGGTGCTGACACAATGTGTCTGGGCTTTCAAAACAATGTGAATATCTTACTTAGAAAATAAAAAAAATTTTGGTTGACCATCCTATATTTAACACTAGAGGTCCAGTATGCATGCATTCAAAGTTGGAACACAAAGTAGCAAACACATTGCTTTAGCTAGCAGAGCTAAGTATGAAATCACAATGAATGAAAAACTTCTATCATACCTGCAGGAACAGATAATTCATATAATAAGTATTTGGCCATAAGGGGGAAAATGAGCACACTGAAATCCTACATATTAGTGAAACATTTGAAAGCAACATTGTATTTGATGGAAAAATAAAGGTATTAGGTGTTCGCAAACAATATGCAGTAAGTAAAACATATGAACAGGAGACAAACAGTGCATCAGATGAATTACTCTGCAAATGCAGTCTTACCATATTCCTTCCAAAAATATTATGCGTGAAAGAAATTAGAAATGGTCATTAGCTACTTTTTTGCCCACATCAGGGCAATGATTTTCAGTGTAGTCCACAAAAACAACAGGGCTACTAATGATGAGAACTTTAAACACTTGTGATCACAGGTTGTGATTGTATACTGTTCCTCAAGCCAACAAGCAGTTAACTCACCACTTCATTTACTTGGGTCTTAGAACCTTCACTGGGACTACATATGGAAATGAAAATTGAACAGGGCAAGTAAGAGGTTCAGAGTTCAGTATTTAGCTTTTGCTTTCTTAAGTTAATGTGGCTTTAAAATTTAAGGACAGGACATTTTAGTAAGCAATAATAGATAAAAAACCATTTATCTACTTAACTGAACCCTTGAAATCTGTTTAAGAAAATTAAATCACTGACTTACAGTTTGTTTTACTCTGAAATAAACAAATTTCACTTACCATATATTCCATGTTGGAAGCAGGTGGGAAGACTTTGCCTCTGACTTGATTATGATAATCAAGAATGGCAATCATGTCATTCTGTGAAATGTAGCGCTTCCGCCTGGCTTTGGGAATTTTTGCAGAGTCCAGATGGGCTGCCAAAGCCGTCTCAATGTCAGTGAAATTATTGTCTGACAGGAATAGGTCAGTGGAGTTGGGCAACACTAATGCACTTGTTTCACAGAGAACGGAAAATAAGAGAGTACAACTGATTGCAGCAATTACTGTCATTTTGGGGCCAAAGGAGAGAGATAGGCCACAGATGAGCTCTGCTTTAAGTCAGGGCAGCAGAAAACAGATCTGTAGAAGAGAAGATGTCAAAGATGTGATTCTGTATATCTGGGTAACAAGACAAAGTGAACTGGCAGGCTGTGACCAGAAAAATTACTCTGTCTTCCAGCTCAATCATAAAAACAATCCAGTCAGAACATGTGTTGCTAGGCAATTTTCAATAACTGTATTAAGTGAGAATACTATTCTTACTAAACACACCAAATGAAGTATCATTATACCATTAATTATATGATCAAGGCTAGTAGAATTCCTGAAATAGTGATAGTGCTATCACACCAGATCAGTCCATACATCACACTATAAATCTGAAATGGGGAGACTGCAAGAAACCTCATATCATGTTTTCCACTGAAAGTGAAAAAATACATCCTAGCCTATGCCAATCCCATAGGCATGGATTGTTTTGACACAATGTGGCAGAGATAAACTCATAGGCAAAAGAAAACATATAAAGCATACAAGCAGGACATCTTAGAAATAGCATTCAAAACTTAAGTTCAGCAAAATGTGATGAGCATTGAAAAAACTGCATGCAAAGCAAACTTATGGAGCTGAATGGCTTACCTCTGGATAATACCAAGAAAAAAAAAGAACTGAGCCTATTGTTCTCCCAGTATATATAGCACTCCCCTATGTGATGATATGAACCTTTGTGAAGGAGTGTCTCTTATTACAACGCCCCAAAGGACTAAACTCTGCTAGTTGTGAAGCTTCTGGCCAGGGGCGCTGCTAACAGCTTTTATATGTTACAGCCTGCGAGAGCCAGTACGGGCAGCCTCTCGGAGGATCCCTCTCAGCCAAGGCGGGCGGGAGGGGCTTTGCGAGCACGCGGCAGCCATTGGGTGGCACCCCGGAGGGTGGGGGCTTTGGGAACTCAGTCACACCCCCGGCTACCGGAGCACAAAGAGGCAATGTGCAGGACTCCTTTTTCGCTACTTCCTACCTTTTTTCCTTTTTTTTTTTTTTTCCCCCTCCGTGTTTGTTTCTTTCCTCATTTCCCGAGCATCATGCTAGCTCGGTAAACGATGTTTTACGCAGCTCCACGAGCACGAGCCCGCACGGCGCAGTTCGCAAACCTGAGTTTGTTGTCCCAGCCACAGGAAATGGAACCGCGCAACGCCGTCCCCCCGGCCCGGCCCGACCCGTCCTGGCCCGCGGGCAGCGCGGCGGGGATGTCCCCGGATCCCGCCGGGCAGCGGAGGCGGGCGAGGGGCAGCGCGGGCGAGCGGCCCCATTCCATTCATCGCCGGGCACGGCAGCTCCCCGAGCCGCCGCTCCCACCGCCGCTCGCCCCCTTCTCCTCCTCCCTCGCCAGCTCACCCTCCGAGGCACAGGCAGAGCTCCGGTCAGGTCGTGGCTGTCCCATTGCGGTTACCTGAACGCCTGCTCGGGAGAAGCTACGGGAGCAGCAGGACCGAAAGCTCACGCCAGTGCCTGGGAGACATGTGTTTCCCATTAACTAGCCTATAGCTGGAATTATTTAAGCACAGAAGGGTCCAGCCACTCACACAGCAGAGCTAAGGGCATAACACCGAGACCATGACGAAAGCAAGCAGAGAGAAGCAGCAACAGCCAGCAATTGTGTCCTGGGGACAGCGGATGGGAGCTATACAATGTCAGGCTGATCCCCCACCAGGGTTGGACGACTTGGGGCAACCCGTAAAATGAGACCCTTCAAAGTGTAATTACACTATTTTGTGACATCATAAAGGAGCTGGGAGAGAGAAACACAACAGGTTTGATATTACACCAAAACTTACAGAGTGTTCAAAAGTTTCAGTAGCTCTATTAGAGAAGCAATATGGGAATTAAGTAGTAAGGAAGTGCAGTCCAGTAGTTGGAGCACAGGGCCGGTAGCCAACACTCACGCTCTCCTTTTGGCTCTGCTACTTACTTGCTGTGTGGCCTAACCCAAACCATTTAATCTCTGTGTGCAATCTCTACAGCTGTATAATAGTCTTCTAGAGACATGTTGTAAGGCTCAAACAACTAGTGTTTGATAATGTACTTTGTGATGAAAGGTGTTAAGTAAGTATATAGTATCATCGCTAGTTACATTACTATGTATACCCAGCCTGTCCAAAACTGCTACTTATAGCTGCAGGTATTTCTTTACATGATTATACAAGAAACTTGAACATATCATTTGTCTTTGCAGGACTAGATGTTGGATGACTCATTTCATCCAGTTTTCTTTCTTCTGAAATGAAGTGCATATTTTTTTATGTTAAAGTCAAGAACTGTCTTCCCATTGTTTGAATACAATAAGAATTCTCAGCTCCTTTGAATTGCCACAGGTCCTTTGATTTCATCTGAGCTGCAATAAGTTATAAAAGGGAAGACACCAGCTTAACATGTCAGGAAATTCAGAGGGTAGATTTTACTAGTTAGTCACATTTTAGATTGCAGTAATTATTTCCTCATACTCACACTGTGGCAATACCTGGAGGCTGTTATGATACAGGGCACTATACAGAACAGATAGGATATACAAGCAAATGTAAAATAGCCATAGTATTCACAGCTGTAAAATTGAGCTGTACTTCCATATGAACAGACCAGCTTATGAGAGAATTATTTTATTTCCCTTGCCACCTGATTATTTGTTTCCATGTCAACAGACAGTGTAACTAGTCATCTAAATGTAGAAGAAATGGTATTATTAACAAGCATTATCGCAAAAAGTATATTGTGAACGTGAAAGGCCTTTAGAACATGAGAGTCTTGACCCAAGCCTGTTGTACTGGTAAGTTGTCAAATAAGAAGCAGTTGCAAATAGTGAAAGAGCAATACTAACTCTTAAGCTTGACAGGTAAGAGCATAGACAATCAGACACCCATGTGCCTTCAGTTTTCTTCTGAAAGAGTTAATCACCTGACATGCAGTGAAATTTAGCAAGCAAGACCAATGAAGCCACACTAAAGACCTCATGAAGGTCAATGCCAAGGAGAGGAATGTCCAAAATGAAGAAGAACAAAGAGAAAAAACCAAACATCAGAGATGTTTGCAAGGAGAAAAATAAGAGATAGATGGAACCATCTGCAACATACACAAAAAAGAACTATTTCCCGACTCTTCAGCCCACTCAGAAAAGACAAAAGGAATAATCAGACCAGTGACAAAAGACCATTACAAGCCAGAGACATTAATGAGACCGTAAACGAGTTAAAATATCTGCAAACCTAATTAAGAACAGAATGTGCAGTGTAGGAAGCCACAAATCATTTACTGAGCAGCCTGAAAAAAAAAAAAGACGATAATTCTTGTACTTAATATTGGCAAATGTTACTGATATTAGAAAAGTTATATGATCAAGAATGAGAAAGAATGTTGAAGAAACTGAGAAAGAAAAATAAATCAGTTTATCTTCTGAAAGACTCAGTTCTAGGATATGCATTAGATGTCAAGGTTTCACCTGAAAATAACATTTTCACAGAAATAGCGTTCACACATAGGAAAAAAGCAGAAATGGTAATGCAACATATTATCATAAGATCTAGATTTTATCGGGGGGGTAGGCTGTACAGAGACATGGATCAAAAAGAACAGGTTGTAAGTTTATGAAATACACTATCAGAAAACTGAAATCCTTTATTGGACATATAACTTCATATTTAAAGGGTTCAGGGTTTACATATTCAACAGGGGGTTCTACATATTTATGGTATTAACATTAGGGGGTTTCACAAGGATGAGGTAAGGGAAAAAAACCCAGGTTAGCATTTTTGGGGTCTTAGGAATTACCTCATAGGAAAAACCCTGTTTTATCTTGGAATTACAGGGGGATTAGGTATAGGATATACATATGCAACAGGTTACAGAGTATACACATGCAAAAGGAGAGAACACAATGGGTTTATGCAGAGGTCTGATGAGATCAGGATGTGGATTCTCTGGCTGGCAGGACAGGTGATAACATCATGTAAGGAGTTTCCCCTGAAGGCGGCTGGAAGAGTCCATAGAGATGAGGTCAGGGGAAAGGGGCTTTCCCAGCTTCTGTTCCCCAGGGCCTTCTGCAGAGACCACTCAAATTTCTTTCTGCAGAATTCATATTTTGGAATGCAACACTGAGTAATGGGTGATTACCCACTGCTCAACAAAGTAGGATGAACTTTATTATGTTGAGTAACATTTATTTTAGTAAATAAATTATAAATGTAAAAAAGTTGAGTTGGTGTAATTTAAGAATAGTGTATTTACACCAAAATAACGTTATGCTGATTGCTAATATCAGACAGTTAAGCTTGAAATATTTAATATAATTTATTTTACTTGTGACTAAGTAAAATACTTGAGATACTTTTGATATTATAACTGTAGTGGCAGACAATTAATTAATAAAATTGAAATCTAAAATGCATTTTTTTCCTGTTCTGTGTCTCTGGGCATAGTAAAGTTTAAAAAACCTCACACATTCATATTTCTCCCTTGTTTTTTTGATACTGCATCATACTGATAACCATCATACAGAGACAATGAAGCATTGAGAAGCTAAGTAGCATACCTGTAGTTACTCAAAAATCATATGGAGAGCAGCACCTTAACCTGAGCTCTAGCAGATCCTAGACTACAGATCTACTCCTACCTCTGGATCATCCTGGGAAAGAAGACAAGTTTCCTGCTGTCTTGTGTTTCAAAGACCAAAAAAAGGCATTTGTAGCACAGAGAGAAGTCAGAATAGGAAGCAAATTATTCATTCAAGAATGCTTTGGCCATTTGGCAGTATGGTGACAGAAATGTCATCAACTATAGCAGTGGCGAAGATGGAGTTTGAAATCACAAGCCAGTCAGACGTATAGCGATAGTTTTAAGTCTAAGATTATAACAACTAACTGTAATTGCCAAAGAGCTATCTAAGCTCCTGAAAAAATAATCACAGATGCGGAAAAGCGTAGCCTAGAGACAATTTCAGCTTACTGAGGTAGATTTTCTATTGC